CCACCGACATTTCCCCATCCATTGTGAGGACAGCTTCCTAGTGAAGCCTCTGAGCCTGTACRTGCCATTTATCGTAGCCAWACTTTACCCGTTCCTCGTCCACGATGCGAAAATCCCACAGCTTTAGCGAAACCCATTTGGCGACRTGCAACCTTCGCTTCCTCCATGTGCCAGTCATAATTACACACTGTTCCCCATTGACCCTGGTGATACACCTCCACAAGACCTTTGGGGGAATCACACATTCAGTTAACGGATTTACTATCGGAAGAAAATACTAAATAGTCTACTAGTATGAAACACATCTTTACTTTATCGTGGTAAGATATGCAAGCTTGCTGAAAAAATACGACACTCGTATTTCTAAAATATACACTCAACTGATGATGTACTTTATTTCCAAAAAAATYTTCATAAATTGTTATCTGAGGCAATCCTGTGCACAGAACAAATTTTGTCTAGCTTATTAAATAAAGTAATTAAAATCAGAACTTTGCAACCGAAGAAATAAGACAATGTAATAGATATACATCTACTATTACATTGTATAAACTATTATCCTCTGAAAATGTCTACAAAAAACATTTCAAACTTTATACAAATGATCTTCTGGTTTAGTTAAGTGTTGTTAAGTAATTTATCCCGCGCTACGGCAGTAACGCAAGTCTGATTACTCTAAAAAGTCAACGAAAGCCTGTTTGTTTCTCCTCCATAATCTCTTCCTCATAGTCACTTGGATTTAGGCATACGATCATCTATATCACAATCGTTCCAGGCATACAGCAGCCAATTCAATATTGATTCCTCGGATATGCATAACAACCGGCATGAACAAATTTCAACCAMTGTCAGGGACGTAGGCAGGATTTTGCCTGGAAAGGGGTTTCAGGCAAATCCTGTTTTCAGAACATCGGTAATTCGAACTCATCACGAGACTATATTTCTACAGCGGGAGTATGGGAAGGGCCATTGGCCCCCCTTGCTACGCCCCTGAAGATATTCAATTTCTTTCATCTTTTATTATGGGAGAGAACTATCGAATTACAATATATCGAATATTGAATCCTTAAGAAAACGTTTGACAACCTTGAAAAAAATAATAGCCTTAAGTCAAATATAAGCCTACATTTAATAAACTGGATAGTATAAATGTGTTGTTAAAATGAATACGAATGTTGAAAGAAATATACCAAGATATCAATCTTACCGAGCTTCACAGCTTCCCAGTTGATTACATTTGCAGTGATTGAAGTTAGTTAGGTCAAAGCATGTAAAACGGACATTGACACTACAGTGTGTGGCCCAGTATCCTGCCACTTCAGYTAAAAATCAGTGTAACTCCCTTTTATTAAAAGCTAATGCATTGAAACCCGATCAAATTATGAATCAATTATTCTGCAACATAATAAGAACAAATTTTTCATTTGTATCCTTTGTCTTTGGTTCGCATCGCAGTTTTAACAAAGTGGTTTGGAGGTCCAGTATCCTGCCACCTG